GATTTTTTTCAACTCAGATGGCTTGTCAGTCAACAAGAGTCACTGCTATGAAAGGAAATAAGAAAATGCAAAATGATACAGATGCAAATGATAGTTATGGAAAAGAAATAAATATCCATTAATTGCAGTCAAGAAAATGTTTGAAGTCTCTAACAAAAATGGGCACAAATATATGCAGATATCAAAGTATTAGAATACTCACTCGACTTCAAACTGATTAGGTGTAACTACATCTGCCAATGGAACAATTATATCTCTATACACAGGTAGGAAATCTTCAGGAACATACATTTTTCCATTGTCTCCCATAACCGGATCACAAACTAAAAATTTTGAAACACATTGTTCAATAAAGAGATTTTCACACATTTGTATTTTAATTTTTGCTTCCATAATAAAACTAACCATAAATTAGTGATGGATTAACTGTCCTTAAATATTTCACAACTTCTGCTATGCGTTTGAGGAACTGAATAGACCCCACATAACCAGTAAGTAAATGTGAATAATTATCCAATTTGTTTTTTTTTAAACCTTCCATAAGATCACCTGCAATGAAAATACAAACAGTTTAGACATTGAATTTAAAATATCCCATTTAAAACAATAACCGTATTTACCCAAATGTAAGACGAGGATTTTTTCTCCATTTTCATCCTTTAAAAATCGGGGGTCGTCTTATATGCGCGTATGATGAAAAATTCGCGTATGAACAAAATGCAATATCAACGGCATTATGTTGTTCCTGGTATAATACAAGTTATCTTCACAAAGAAAAGTCATTTGTAATAGAAATTCCTCTTTTTTTATTATTATTGGATGTGTTTATAATTTAAGTAATAAGATGTAGAATTATTTCTCCAGACATTACACAGAAGCGTTAGATATTAGTATTTAAGTTATTCTTAGCAGCAGTTAGCAGTGTTGTAACAGCTGTGACGCCACCAAAGTCTTCCTCGTGGCCAACGAGAGACCACGAGCCTTCCTTCCAAAAATTAGTGTGGCAATGGCCGACCACATGGAGAAAAGAGGAAGTGTAGAACTTATCAGAAACATGGAATGACGTATAAGTTAAGACGCAAACTTTAAATTGCGAGTGATTCATCTCGCTGAACAAACGAACAATAGTGAAGCTGCACAACTTTATGCAATATGTGAAGCAAATGTACAGCATTGGAGAGGTATGAAGGAACGCCTGATATCACAAGGAAATGTTTCCGTGGTGCGCCATCCCGAAATCGATGATGAAGTTCCGGAATTCGTAAAAATTCGTAACAAGGGTTTCGGAGTTTCTACATACAGCATTCGCATGAAAGCATTAGAAGTAGCAAGAAGGATAAACATTTCCAGACAGGAATTCAATGCGAGTATCGGCTGATGCATACGGTTTATGATAAGGTAAGGGTTCAGTCACAGAAGTAGAACTTCCCTATCGCAAAAGCTACCTGCAGTTTATGAAGAAACACTTCTGGAGTACCACAAGTACATTACACAATTAATTATACAATTACAAAGTACATTACACAACCATTTGTTGAGTCAAATGGGGCATGTCGATGAGACCCCCATGTACTTCGACACGCCTTCTAACAATACACTGGCTTACAAAAGGGTGTAAATTCAGTTATGATAAAAACATCTGGAAACAAAAAAATGCATATTACAGTCATGCTGGGAGTGTTGGCAGATGGCAGGAAGCTACTGCCATTTGTTATCTTGAAAAGGAAGAATTTGCCCTAAGAGAAACTACCAAGTAGAATAATTTTTAAATGCAATGAATCTGGGTGGACGACTGAAAGCTTGAATGATTTCCTGGCTTCAAGAAGTTACCGGCAGCTCTATTACAGCATAGATTGTTAACCCTTGATGCCTATCCTTACAGAAGTAAAAAAGGAAGTTGCTAGTTTAAAACAGAATTAGTGGTGATACCAGAAGGCATGACCTCACAGTTGCAAGTCCTTGATGTAACTGAACAAATCTTTCAAGATGCCGATATGAACCAACCAGATGCCAATATGAAGAGTGGTTGTTATCAGGGAACTGCCCATTAACTCCTGCCATTAAAAAAAACTTCAATTTGACAGCTTGGTCAGAGGATTCTAACTGCATGGAATACTACATCAACTCAAAGCATGATAAAAAGTTTCAAAAAGTGCTGTGTAAGCAATAGTCTATGGCACAGAAGATGATGTGTTATGGAGTGAGAATGATGGACATATGTGACGATGAAACAAGTAAAGATGATGATTAAATGATAAATGTGGATGTGGTAAAATTTAAGTTTAATTCATGTACTGTATAAAATATTGATATGCACAATATAATTTATAGATAATGTTAATAAACATGTAAGTAACATAGATGTGTTTTTTTTTCAATTTCATTACCTTGTAGAAAACTGATATCAAGTTATAAAGCCAAGCGTCATCTTACATTGGGGTGTATTTTCAATTTCAAAATGTAAAAACATGACTCGTCTTATATTCAGGTAAATACGGTATAATTTAAATTACTGATTACAATCAATTATTTGTTTTTTTAATGTAAACTTGTTGGTTGATTTCTTTAAAGAAAGTGTAACCTAACACAATGTAATTGTATAATATGAATAAATATTAAAAAAACATTATTACTGGAAGGATGCTCTCATCATGCTATATAAATTCTCGATTTTAAGATTTTCACCTGAAAAGATAATACAAATGTGTGTTTTATTGCTTATTCACATGCAGCAAATGGTGCACATGAAGGATTGTCACAAGATAAACTACCCCCCCCCCTGCTGCATTTTCATAACTCTACATAATGCATTTAACATATTACATTTGAAAATAAAACTAGTATATTCAAAATTAGTTATTAATTTCCTATACAAACAATTTAAACAAATAATAGTGTACTTTATAGTTTATTAAAATAGATCAATAAACAAAAAAATTTAATTTAAATCCCTTTTCTTGATACTTAGGACTGCACCACCCACAAACCTACATGATAAATTATAGGATTCTAAACATATAGTACTGAACCAAACTCTGATTCAGAGTAATAAAACAAGGAGACCGAGGGTGGTGCTAAGGCTCCGTCCATAAATTATATAATGCAAATTTGAAGTATTTTGTATACCTGTTTTCCCCTCTGTAATGCACCCGTAATGCGCAATTGAACGCCCCCACCCCATACTAATTACATACTGCTTGTGACCCCCCCCCCCATCTGTATGTAAATGCAAAAAGTGAAAATAAATTATAGTTCAGTAAAAAAAGTATTATTTTCAATCATTCAGTAACAACCTCTAATAACTTAAAATAATTTTGTTTTAAAACAAATTAAGATAATATTTTCATGTTTTTGTGTGACAAAAAAAGGAAGTATTTTAACAAATGTTACAAAATTTCGATGTTACATACTTATGGAATGCACCCCTAACCCTATGTAATGGTGCCTCAAACCCCCTACCCACCTCTTAGGCATTCCATAAATAATGGGCAACCCCTATGCAATAGCAGTATTGGAATTCTAATAAAAATCTCCAATTTTTGCTGGAATATTACAATATTTTCTCTTCCTTAAGTCAGTAGTTAGGGAGAGAGTAAAAAAGTATAGTGGTATGGTAAGTTTATTTCCTTTGACAAATCTACAAGCCCCTTTGATGTGAATGCTGCAACAAGCAGCAAAACATTTTATTATCTTTCCACATGCAAATCCAAAAACCACCTAGTGCAGCCTCCCAAAAATAGATTTATTTTATTATTAACTCCAAATTAAACATGTACAATGTTTCAGATAATTTTTTTTTTGAAGTATCAAATTACAAAAAAATGTCAAAACAGAAAAATAAATATTAAATAAGTGTTTTTTTTAAATTTAATTTAAACCATATTTCTAGGATACACTAATCTCCTGTTTGCCAGAAGTAATTATAAAGTCAATAAATAACTGATTGATTATTGAAGTTTCACAATTAAAAAATTAAACATACAAATCTTACCAAGTTCTGAGTCACTCAGTATCTGTCCTTTAAAAAATCCATACCCAGTGTGATTCGAGAATTGCACAGAATTTATGGCATCGACTTCAAAACCCAAAATCTGCAATCACAAATATTATGAAACTTAATATGTTCGAACTGCAAATATTACAGTTTCGTCAAGCAGTACCTGTAACGGGAATGTGGCGCTTTTATTACCCACATAACCCGACACAACATGACTTTGAATCGTAAGAACTCGCCAGTTCCCCGCCATTGTCTTGCTAGATGTCCTGAAGTTTTATCGCATTCCACAAGTGAATTCTTCCACTGTGTTGTTGTAAATCTTCATGCTGATGACACAATTCCACAAATCCGCCCACGTGACACCAAGATAAGAAAATTCTTAAGTTCTTGTGTGGCCTCCAGATGGAGTAGCGTTAGTCCGCTTGTCATATGTTTACTAGACATTGCTAGTCATTCTTACCAATGTGTTCATTTCTAAAACTACATATATTCCTCATTAGTTAAATAAATATTGAATTCCAATGTATCAACAAATTTATGTCATGTTGTACACTATAAAATTTTACTTCAAATGTGTGTTTTTTTTCTTGCAACACATAATTCATTTGTTAATTATGCTGTTGAAATTGGTGTCAATGATCAACATTAGAACAGAAGCAAATCGTAAGTTGACAGCCACGCCAGAGGCCTGACCAACTTTACAATATTATCTGGCTGGGCTTTTAGCCGAAACTTGCAGTAAAACTCGTGTTTGATTCTTGTCTGAGATTGTTTGGCGTGTGCGTTGAATAACGGGGTGATAGTTTACCTCAGTTTATCTTACCTAAAACAGTGTAAGGGTAACATTTTAAAAGTTGGTTTCTATGGCCAGACACCGTGAAATGAAATTTGATTAACCGTAAAGTGTAATTTCTATTAATTGATGTTTATTATAACGGTGAAGTGTGACGTGTAATTTTTTGTTTGTTTTAGGGCTAATTGAATTCTAGTAATTGAGTGCATAATGTACTTCTTTGATACACTACCTACACATATGGACTATGATGGACAAAGGAAAGCGGAGAAATTATCACGTATTATAATTACCTTATTTGGTGTGGTTGGTTTGATTTGGGGATATATCATTCAACAGTTTTCACAGACTGTTTATATTCTATTTGCTGGTTTTGTGTTAGCTGCTTTGGTGACAGTTCCACCATGGCCAATGTACAGACGTAAACCTCTTCAGTGGCAGAAACCACGCCCTGAATGTGATGGCACTGAGTCTGTGATGAAATCAAAAAAGAAGAAGTAAATTCGATGAAACAATAAATTTGTGAATCCTAATGTATCTGCTTGTGTTTGTCTTGTATTTTGTTTCCTTTTTAATGTGTAGAAATGTTCTTGCCCAAATATTTTTATAAAACAATCCAAGAAAGAACAAAATTTCTACTTATTTTTATTTTAGCAGTAGTTTTAATGGAATAGCACAATTTATTTTCAACAGGCACTCATTAGGGAATAAAATTTTAAATGTGGGAGTCATGGATTCATTTTTTAAAAAAATACGTTAATGATAGATGTTAAGATCTTTGATATTTGATATGGAAATATCCATTTTCATCTTAGTTGCATAAAAATATATAATTTTCAAGGTATGTTTTAATTTTAATTCAAAATTGAATTTTTATGTAATTAAGATGCAGTGGGAAGACAAGAAAATAAAATTAATTAAAACAAATGGTTTGTGATTTTAAATATTTGATAATAGTGCTAATGATAGAGCTGTTACCTAACCTGAATGTTTAAAACTAGAGGTGCTAAAATGGCATGTACTTTCTCACCTTTGGTAATAGTTATGTAATACATTTTATACCACAATACCTCTGAATTAACATATCTCAGACATCATTTTTTGTAAAACTCATTACAAATCTTACTACATTTGGTGCAAAAACTAAATAATTTCAAAGCAAATATCAACACAAATTTGACAATTTTATCTGCTTTTCACACAAGTATATCATGTCCAAACAATTAGACCTAATTCACAGAAATTAGCTCCTGAGTCATTGTTACATTCCAATCTGATAATCCCTGAAGGCTAGCAATTTTTATTTCATATATTTCAAATTGATTTTAAACTGTTTCTAAAAGATTAAATAGTAAATGTACAACATAAGCTTGAATGTAAGAAATGAACAAAGAAATATGAAATAATATACAAATTCTGACTTATAAATCATCCCACTGCTTTGAATTACGGCCATGAAGCAAAGTTAACTTGGACTGTTTGTCGGTAAATTAAAAAAAAAATTTCTTATTTTCAAAAAATTCAATTTGACTTTATTTGAAGATCTGTTTTTGATGGACATATCATATTAGAAAAAAAAGAATCGGGCATTTCATTGAACATGAAACCATCACCATTCTTTTAAGCATGCTTTTCCGCTATCTAAGGTGTAAATTTAATGAAAAATTTTGGTACCGTTTTTAGGGGAAAATTATTTAAAGAAACTAGAAATTTTCTGTGTTTGGCACAAAATTTTGCAATAAATAGTCTTTGAAATTCAATTCAACTTTGAAAATTTGAACATGACATTTTTAGATCTGTTTTTCATGAACACCTTTCACAAGAAATAAAATGTTTATCTTCATGTTGTAGGAAGAGTCTGAAAAAGTTGTTAATTCTATCAATTTTCAAAAAATCAGAGCTTTAAATGAATATGAGACGTGCACCATTTTCTTAACGGTCCTTCACCCTGTCCAACAGCCAAATTTAATAAAAAATAATGGAGCAATTTTTTTTTATGGCTCAGGGGCTTAATGTAAAGTACCCCATAGAATTAAAATATCGGTTTCAAATTCAAGGGGCTGCCACATCAGTTAGATCCATCAGGGATTGCCAATTTTGGAGAAAATTGGCTGAATGGTATAGCTGCTAGCATTGATCACGGACAGATGTTTTGTCGTCAGTCAATTTTTCAGTATCAAAGACATTGGTTTTGGCTGCACCACATGTTAGAATATTTTCCCCCTGAATTTAGCAACTGGATTTATCCACATTTCGTTTCCAGGCCCCTGCAAGTGTTTTTCTGCTGAAAATTCACCGTTTTCCCCCACAGCACACATAACTCTACTGTGTAAAGGGTAGTGAGTAAGTAAAAATTATACTGTGTAAAGGGTAGTAAGTAAGTAAAAATTATACTGTGTAAAGGGTAGTGAGTAAGTAAAAATTATAATTGAATGAAATTGACAGTCCAGAAAAACAATTGTATACATATTCTGGTCTTGTAGGCTGCAAATAAACCTATTCTAGGAAGTCTGCAAGAACTTAGTTGTAATATTGCAATTTTCTTGAGAAATTAATGTAGCCACAATAATACTGAAAATGCAAGCTGTCTTTATCTAACCTGTTTTCATTTAAAGTATATTACTATTATCAGTAGATTTGGAGAGGCTGTGTATCATGTCAATCAATATGTTGATATAGAGAGATTTTTTTAAGAAAGGACTGCTTTAAAACTAGTGCGTGGCTGTTGCTGGCAACAAAACCTGCTGATTAAGCTTGTACGTTCAATTCCTTCAGTAGTAGTTGTCTCACATGTAAATGGCTTTGACAATTCTCTTGCAATGTCATTGTCTGACATGATGTAATTTGTTTTGCTTCCTGATGAATTTGTCACTTTTTGGAGTAACTTCTCTATACAATGCCAAAAAAATGGTGGAACAAATTAATTTTAAAAAGAAATTCTTAATGTGGATTTAAAATTTAATACATCAAAAAATGTAGAAGAAAAAGTGATGACTAATAATAAATATATTAGCAAATATATTTAATAAAGCTATGTAAAAAAGTATAGCCCAACTTCTTTAATGTTTCTGCCTCTTTTTCCAATGTGAAAATATATGATTAATAATAACAAAATGTCAAAAATTTGCATTTTTGAAAATGAATTGTTTTTTTTAATGAAAAGTCATTGGTGACATCAATTTCACTTTTTACCTGTTATTAGTGAAGGAAGTTTCTAAAAATTTTTATTAATAAAGTAGAAAGAGATTTTAAAATCATTTTTATTGCTACCGTTTGGTAAAATTTCAGCCAAATTAATCAATTTTCAGAGTTCAATGAAGAGACTTCTTTTGAGTTATGTTGATTTTTAATGATTTTATACATGTGACTTTATAGATTCTATAATATTTCAAAATACTTCGAGTAGTTTCTAAGTAGCTCAAATAGTGTTTCATAAAGTAAACTGAAATACTCACAGTTTTAAAAAAATTATGCTATATGCTTTCAATTCATTGAATATGTCCCCCTGATAATTTTGAAAGAGGTCCTACAAAACATTAATTTCCTTAAAAATGTATAATCCCCGATTTTTTCTTTTTTTGAATGACAATTTGTGAAATTGTTGTTCATAATTTGAGGAAGAGGCTCTCCAAAATATCTGGCAATCATGTAAATGCTGTAATATAATTGTATCTTTTAAGTTACAATCTCTTTGTAGAATATTGATTGATTAGCGATTCAGGGCACATCAACTCATAAGGTCGTTAGTTCTGTAAGCGTAGTTTGTGATTTTTATCACAGGAGGTGGTGGGGATCTTTCCACTCTGGATGGTAAGATCTGGTGCCAACCAACACATTGGCTAGCAGGGTTTTCTTTAATCAGATATCTCCTACCAGCGAGACACCACTCCAACTAGGATAAACTCTAAGCTCGTGAACAGACTTCCAACATTGTGGGTAGTGTAGTCCCACCACGTAAGTGTGTTTGTGAGTAAGGGGTGGGGATAGGGCAAGGGAGAGGAAGGGAAGGTCATGCACAGTCTAAGGCCTGTTTGTTATGGTACTGCTACAACATTCACCTGGTGTTGATCTGAGAAACAAACGACTACCGATCAGAAGTGAACCACAACAATTTTGCTTAAGATAGCAGTTGATTTTGACCTAGCCATCTAGCTAGTGTTGAAAATCCCATTACTGTCAAGACTTGAATATTAGGACTTCCCGGCCATAATCACGGAAGAGACATCAGTTGATGCCCTGAGGCACCTAAGCTGGTTTGTAGAATATTTTATTCACTTACTAGTAAAATATGTGTAAAGAAAATAAAACAATGTTCAATTGCAATGTAATTGATTACCTGCTCACACTATTTTAGTCTGCACTGAGACTGTTTCTTTACAAATTCAAGCATTTGAAGACTTTTGCCGACAATATTGCGAACAATTAAATGAAATCTTATCGTCAGCTAAGACACCAAAATATTATACTTGCGATATTGTAGTAAGATTATTGTTAAAGAGTAGTGGTTCTCTGTATATTCTCTTGAAAGGCTACATAATTTTTCACCCAAAGGTTTAATTTTGCAAAATAATTATTTTTTTCCTATTAGAGCATACTTTCAGAATACTATTTCTGACCTTCATATTTTCATGTTAGAAATCAGTTGAAAAAGAAAATATGTTAGCTGAGAAAAAATCAATTTTTTAAATTAGTGTAATTTCACATTTTAGCTACTTTAAAACTAATTGAAGTTATTTCATTTGTAGGAATATTGTCTACTTGTAAATTATTATTGTACATTTAAATACACTTTCTATTTGTGGATATCCTATAAGAATAAATTCTCCACTCTCTGCTCTGTAGATAGCCAAAAATGTTAATAAAAAGTAAACTATTGATTGAATAGTTTAATCACATCAATTAGAATCAATTTAAAAAAAATTATGAATGATGTAAACAGCATACAAATTTTACCAAAAAGTTAATATGTTATTATAAATTAAATTTCAGTACAATAACGCAGTAATTAAGGGTTTCTCCTCCTCCTCTCTATTTTACAGTACATGGCATTTCAATGAACATGTTTGGATCATGGAAAACAATATGATATACACGGAATCAGATCTAAAGTGATCGATTTTGGGAGTCACTTTGTAGATACAAAAACAAACTTAGTTAAACTATGAAAGTTTTTTAAAATTCTTTATAAATATTAATCGTCTTTGTAAGGATTTTCTTAAATCTAATGAATTATTTGTATTGCATTTGGAGATATCACTTGAGTTTTGGAAGCCCATATTCTGTTTAATTGGGTGTAGTTTCGTGTGAAGACTGTTCCACGTGGATTGCCATTCTGGGAGGATGCACTTCGAAGCAGCATTTCTTGCGTCTTGAGGTCGTATTTCAATATCCATTTCCAATTGGATGTTCATTTCGTTGATTTCGATTGCATTTCGTGCTGCAAAATCGGCTTCATTGCTTGGGATACCCACGTGTCCAGGGCACCAGATGAACGTAATTGA